GTCCAGATCCTCAAGGTGTTGCTTTGCCGTGACCAGTTTGTTGAGATACGCGGTGTTTATATCGCCCTGGTAGGTAGTTCGTTAGCTGCAACGGGACACACACTGCCACAAACAACCGGCATGTCGTCATGTGTGCGACGAGAGAGTACGCCTCGAAGTAATCTAGGTCTGGTCCCTGCTTATCCTCTCTGTCTACCAGTGTCGCTCGGAACTCTAGCACGTTGCCCCAGATGATCAGACTTGAGACCGACCCACATCGTCAACAGTAGTTTCTGCCCTTGTGACAGTTCGCTTTGCGGTATCTTCTTTAATACACCTTTCGCACCAAGTGCAGCGACCTGCTTGTCCATCGCTGCCTCCCAGAATGGACCAAACTTTGAACTCATCGCTTCTCGGCGCGTACATCGGAAGTTGGCTTTGCTGGCGCGTATGCCTCCACGACCTCGACGGTCTTTGTGTATTCGTGTAGCGTCTTAAAAGCTGGGCATACGTTGAAGTCCTCGAGCCTTCAAGCTTGTAGTTCTTCGGAGTTTCACGCAGTCTGGGGCGACGTGTAGCTGTTCTCGCTTGGCGTCCACTTCGCCACGCTTGTGATCTTGCATACGACGAACTTCTCTGTCGTTTGGATGCACTTTTCCCACTAATATCTGCTGCGAAATTGTTACAATACCACTCCCAGCACCACTCACTGGTGTTGTCTTCTCCGGCATCGGCGGGTCATCCACTTCGCTGGCTATTTCGTCGTCAATATCAGCTTTCAGTTCATCACTCGCATCGAATAAGCAGTTGTAGTCATTTGTCTCGCTCTCCACGAACTCCGGTACTGGTATCATAGCTGACACGTGAGATCAATCAGTACAAGAGGAACAGGTCTGCGTCAGCGTATGAGGCAAGCTCTTTACCGAAGGCTGGGAGAGTCAGATAGCGATCTTGTTCGAGATGACGGCCATAACAAAGGAAGCGAAGTTGGAGGATATCCGATCGAAGACGAAGAGAAGAACACTCTGGAAGTCATCGATCGACTACGGCGAATAATCTGAAGCCGTCAGCACTTGCTACTCGGAATGAGCAATGCGCTGCCGCCTGCTTCCCGAGGCGTTTTCTGCACTATCGACATTGGGACGCCAAGCCAGTGGCTCTGTGTGTGCGCTAGGTCGTGCCGCACTTTCGCTGAAAGCTGTCCGACTTGATTAAAGGCCTTCTGTCAGCGAAGGTCATCCTTGCACGTCATCGATCGTTGCGATAATCAGGAATTGCGTCGACATCAGGCACTTCATTGGCCACCGGTTGGTAAACAGTTTGACGCACTCATGGTACCCCATGCCGTTGGTCAACGATCTGCTGGGAGACTTGGACAAGATACGCTGGTATTTGTCTCTGGACATATCGATCGAATTTTGGGTCGTATAGAGGGCCGCGCGAGCTTGCCTGGTCTCGGCCTCATCACGCCGTTCCGGTTATGCTCTGGCGTCTCGATGCCCACGAGATTGCACCGCCTACCATGCAGTGCACGAACCCTGTGATGCTATTAAGAGTGTCGGGGTCGTTTCCCCAATCTGAGTCCCACTTCCCGCCAACTATCAGCTCTGGTCCTTGCTCCGCGGTTTTAGTTCGTGTGCGCACAATTCATTTGGGTTTTGGTACCGATCAGATACCGCAGCACTCTCTTGGCGGCACCAATATGCTGGTGCGTAGCACTTTGCACGTAGCGACTGAGTTGTCGTACGGAGAATGCGAGGTCCAGGCGTGTACAGGTAGTTATGTACATCAATGACCCAACTAGTTTACGATATGGGAACGTCTTGCCATTCACGAGCGCATGCTTGTGTTGGTGCGTGTGCATATCATTCACGGTGAAACGCATGTTGGTTTCCATCGGGGTTCTACTGGGGTGGGCGTCGCTGAATTTGAAGCGCTCAATCGCTTTCTCGCAGCACTACCGGTGGACTTTAATGGAGTCTTCATTCTGCCTCACTTGCATACCCAAGTATGTGCTGAGTCAGCCCTGGCCCTTTAGACTCATAGTCCTGGTCAAGCGTCTGGACCACCTTCTTCATGAAGTCCACGTTCTTGGTTGCACATTAGATGACATCTATGTACAGTAGCATAATTGAGGATTCTCCTTGACGATTGTACAAATACGGACACTGGTCAGTGCTACACTGCTGGAAACCGTACTTGATGAACCATGCATTAACCTCTCTCTTCCACTCCCTACCGCACTGCTTGAG